GTACCTGGTCCAGTGTTCTTATGTTGGCTGTTGGACCAGTACCTGGTCCAGTGTTCTTATGTTGGCTGTTGGACCAGTACCTGGTCCAGTGTTCTTATGTTGGCTGTTGGACCAGTACCTGGTCCAGTGTTCTTATATGTTGGCTGTTCGCCCAGTACCTGGTCCAGAGTTCTTATATGTTGGCTGTGGGTCCAGTACCTGGTCCAGTGTTCTTATGTTGGCTGTGGGTCCAGTACCTGGTCCAGTGTTCTTATATGTTGGCTGTTCGCCCAGTACCTGGTCCAGAGATATTATGTGTTGGCTGTGGGTCCAGTACCTGGTCCAGTGTTCTTATATGTTAGCTGTGCGTCCAGTACCTGGTCCAGTGTTCTTATATGTTGGCTGTGGGTCCAGTACCTGGTCCATTGTTCTTATATGTTGGCTGTGGGTCCAGTACCTGGTCCATTGTTCTTATATGTTGGCTGTGGGTCCAGTACCTGGTCCAGTGTTCTTATGTTGGCTGTGGGTCCAGTACCTAGTCCAGTATTCTTATGTGTTGGCTGTGGGTCCAGTACCTGGTCCAGTGTTCTTATGTGTTGGCTGTGGGTCCAGTACCTGGTCCAGTGTTCTTATGTGTTGGCTGTGGGTCCAGTACCTGGTCCAGTGTTCTTATATGTTGGCTGCGGGTCCAGTAGCTGGTCCAGTGTTCTTATATGTTAGCTGTGGGTCCGGTACCTGGTACAGTGTTCTTATGTGTTGGCTGTGGGTCCGGTACCTGGTCCAGTGTTCTTATGTTGGCTGTGGGTCCAGTACCTGGTCCAGTGTTCTTAAACTTACTACAAAGTTGTTTTTTCGTCATCTTTATCCTGCGGTCGCTCTCTGATTTCATCAGCTCATTATCATCTTCTGACCCGCAGAACCGCGGGTTGGTTTTTACAAGTGGGTCTGTCCGGCTCAGGCCTGATGCTAACTTGCTTGGGGGCTCAGAGGGGCATCAGGGCTGTGTATTGGCAAGAATTTGGCGAAACAATACATATCATGACAGAGGGGCCATGATTCAATATATCCCGATATACATCAATACTGTAAACAAGGCGATATATTGAGATATTTTTTTGGTCCAAAAATTCTATTACATAAAAACCTCTTACTGGAGAAAAACAACGAAAAACCAAAATTCATTGTCTCAGAAAATTCTAATATTACATAGACATACTTTTGATACATTTAGATGTGTTCTGCTTTGTATGTGTTTTATTTTATTTGTTTCATATTTCATCCATGTTTCCAATTAGACTAAATTTGCCAATGAATATTTTAAAAATATATTTTTGCAGCTTTTAGTTTTTAATATTAATTTACAATATGTTCACCTAACACTTAACAATAGCCTTTATGTTGTCATAAAGTTCAGTAAACAGATGATATGAAGCTGCTGCACACAGAGTTTCTGGGATCAGCTGACCTGCATCCAGAACCTGATTTGTATAACTGTGGGTCGAACAGCAGGGCAGGTCCCGAAGAAAACCAGTTAACAGCAGGGCAGGTCTTGAAGAAAACCAGTTAAGAAATTGAGAAGCTAAATTTGTTAAACCGTTTTTGAAGCGAACACAGCAGGATAAAGTACATGGACTCAGCCGGACATTGAGAGCAACAGACAGAGTTTTGTGTCATGGGGGAGTGCCGAGCTCGCTCAAGCTGATAGACGCATGCACTATATGCGTAACGTGAAGGCTGACTACAGTTGTAAAAAAGAGCACACAAAACACTTAATTTGTCTTAAAATACAGACATTCTGACAAATAAGTAACTGTTGGTAACCTTACCTCAGCTTAGAAGGCAGAGGGTGTCGGTCTTTTCTGCTCAGATTCAGCTATCGGAGCATGAAGCTAATGTTTACTTACAATGCTAATGCTCTCTTACTCTCTGGCGCTCAAGCTGTGGAGGAGCCAAATGGCTGGCTCACTGCTGCCAACTAGTGGTCAGAGGCTGAACTACAACATAAAATGAATGGCTGGCAGGAAAGTTGACATTTTAAACCTTAATAAAAAAATCGATACAGGGCTTTAGAATATCAATACAGTATCAGGAAATGAAATATAGCGATATTTCAYTGTATCTATATTTTCTTACACTCCTAAGGGGCATCGGAGGCAGGCTCACTTTACTCACCTTTCTGCCTTCGTGTCAGTCCTGGACAGAGCTGTCTTATGAATGAAGCTAGAGAGAACTTTTCTGTAACACCCCCCATCGAGGTGACAAACACCCCGCAGCTGTGAGAGCGTGCATGCAAACAGCCGTCACACAGCAAACGTTTCTTCTAAACTACCAACAGTTAAAATAAATTACAACACAGCAGAGTGTTTTTTGTGTTACTCTTTGCAGCTTGTAGGAGACAAACACAAAAAGCATCTTATGTCCAAAGGAACGTTACTTTATTCACCAGGATCAGACGTAACTGTGATCATGCAGCAGCTGGATGATCAGCCTGAGTGAGACCGGTCAGGGTTGCCAGGTAAAAATAAAAATATTAATTTTGGGCCCTCTTTTTTTTTTGTGTGCACATCTTCACCAAACACAACATACACCTTACCTTACAACACCCTCATTCAGCATATCTAGTTTTTACTCAAAATATAATAATTTTAAATTAACAGTAAAACACTTTACTATGTCTCGTTTGGCAACCTTACCTGGTACTTTGCTGCAGTGTTCCATGTAAACTGGTGATTGTTGGTGTATTTCCAGAGACCAGAGTTGTAATGTAACTAAGTACAAATACATTGTTACTGTACTTAAGTAGAATTTTTGGGTATCTGTACTTTACTTGAGTAATTATTTTTCAGTATACTTTTTACTTTTACTTATTACATTTTTACACAATTATCTGTACTTTCTACTCACTACATTTTTTAAAAAGGTAAGAAGTAGAAAGTCCTTACTCCTATTTTATTCTGAGTTATTACTTAAGAAAATACTATCCTGATAAATAGTGTCTCCTGGATAGAGTGAATTTAATTGTGGTTGGATGAGAAGTATAAATATACACCATTCTAACATACTATTAGCTTGTACACAACCCATCACAGCTGCACGCCGTTAGAAAAAAACATTTTTTGGAGAAGTCACCTCCCAATAAATGTCATTTTGGAAAATCTAACTGCTCACTTTTACTCAGTACTTTTACTTTTAATACTTAAATAGATTTTGTGTCAGAAATTTACTTTTGTTACTTAAGTACAGAAAATATCAGATATTTAAAAACTTTTACTAAAATAATATTTTTAGAGAAGACTTTAACTTTTACCAAAGTATTTTTTTATGATAAGATACTTGTACTTTTACTCAAGTATCACTTTGAGGTACTTTATACAACACTGCCAGAGACCGGTCTCGCGTAAACAAGGCCGAAGGATCTGTTTTGTTGAGCGGCTGTGGTGCAGTGGTTAGGGGTGTTTTCCTGTAACTGGTAGGCTGCCGGTTCAATCCTCTGTTCCGGCTGTCTCAGTCGTTGCGCCTTTGGGCAAGACCTGCCTTGCCTACTGATGGTGGTGAAGTTTAAAGTGCTTTGAGGTCCATATGAACTTGATAAGGTGCCATTCAAACGATACACCAGTTTTAAGTGTTTTTAATTTAGTGTTGATAGAAGAAGTAAAACTAGATTTTTGAAGAATAATTTACAGCTCTTTATTTCAAATGTTCATATTTGAAGCGTTGCAGCTGGAAAAACAAACAGATTCATGAGAAACAAAAAACACCTCAATTCACCCTCTGGTCTTCAATTCAATTCAAATTCAAAAATACTTTATTCCCCAGAGGGAAATTAAGTAGTAGTTGGTCTTGTCCCCCCCACCCCCCACCCTGCCAAACTAACATAAAACCCCCAAATTCCTTTTTAACTGACGCCTGAAATGATTTGACAATAGGGCTGTGTATTGGCAAGAATTTGATGATACGATACATATCATAACAGAGTGGTCACGATACGATATGTCCCGATATATTGCGATACTGTAAGCAAGGCAATATATTGCAATATATTGTGATTTTTTTGTCCAAAAATTCTATAAAATAAAAACCTCTTACTGAAAAAAAAGAAAAGCTAATGTTTACTTACAGTGCTAATGCTACCCTTACTCACTGGCGCTCAAGAGGTAGAGGAGCCAAGTGGCTGGCTCACTGCTGCCAACTAGTGGTCAGAGGCTGAACTACAACATAAAAATGAACGGCTGGCAAGAAGGTTGACATTTTAAACCTTAATAAAAAATCGATACAGGGCTTTAGAATATCGATACAGTATCGGGAAATGAAATATCGCGATATTTCAATGTATCTATATTTTCTTACACCCCTATTTGACAAGCAGCAAAAAGTCTTCAGGAAGAAAAATGGTGGAAGTTTAATGAAGCTGTGTGGTGATGGAGCTCAGGATAGAGCAGTGAGATTAGAGAGATTTAATATTCAGATTTTATTGTTAGGGTGCAGTTTGGTTGGTTTTAGTGAGTCTGAATCAAAATGAGGTGAGTGTGGAGTTGCAGTCAGAACCTGTTTCAGACAGAGGAAGAGCTCAAAGGCAGACTTCCACGAGGACGTAGGTGACCCATTATTTGGTAGAAGAGGAAAGAGAAGAGGAGTGCTGAGCGGTCTATCAGGGAAATCCCTGATAACTATGGTTGTATTCTTACTTGTAAGAGGAGGCAACCCTGACTTAAAGCCAAAGCTCAGACCCCTAAAGAAGAAAACAATCTATCTGCTTCAAGTTTTAAACTAACCCCTCCTCCATGTCTGTGATTCTGTAGGCTTTCGTGAAGGACGTTCACGAGGGATCAGTCACTGTGGCATTTGAAAACAAGTGAGTATTATAAAAATAAACTACGGCGCTGACACCGGAGCTGATAACATTACAGGCTTGTTTTTGAATGTTTGTGTTTGTTTGTCCCAGTTGGCAGCCTGAGCGTCAGATCCCGTTCCAGGACGTGCGCTTTCCTCCGCCGACGGGCTTCAGCAAAGACATAAACGAGAGCGATGAGGTTGAGGTGGGAAGATTTTAGTTGTACTGTGAGGCTTCAGTACAGAATATTTAGATGTGTACTGTGACCGTTTTTATTTTGTCAAATTAGTTCACTAGCTGCATTTCCATTGACCATGAAAATGCGCAAATTAGAAATTCGAAAAATAATTTGCTCAATGGAAACACGTCAGTTTCGAAAAAACATCATTTTTTTGACAAAAGGTTTTTGCGCTGGGATGAGTTGTTTTTTCTGCCATATCGAAATTGGTGTTTTTCACAAAACTGCAATGGAAACACTTTTTTCGCATCATGGGAGTCACGTGATCAACAATCAGATTTCTACTGGTGAAAAAGACGACGAAGAAGATAACAGGAAGTAGAAGTAGTAATAAAATCATTGAAGTTGTAAAAGAAAGTAGTAAACTCACCAACTACAATTTCCCAAAAACACAGCATATGTAGTCGCTCCCAAGTATAAGGGGCTCATCGCTCAAAAGCCTTGATCAGACGCCGACGTCTCCTCTGATGATGAGCACTAGTGTCATGGTAGCAACATGCTATGTGTTTACATCCATTACCGCCATGTTTGTAATGACTTATCACGAGAACAAAAGTATTCACGCGTGACTTTAATACAGGGTCCGACAAATCCTATTGCCCGATTGCCTGGGGCAGGTAAAACTCATATTCAGGCTAGGGGTGTCCCGATCCGAAATTGATATCGGATATCGGTCCGATATCAGCCAAAAAAATGCGTATTGGATTTTATCGGCCTGCATAAAAAATGTCTGCTATAAGCGCTCCGATATTAGCAGTTCAATCCAGCAGTTCACTGACTCCGCTCCAGTGTTTCTATCCAGCAGCGCTTGGATCCAGCATGCAGCGCTCACATGATCACAACAACATGCTGCGCTAACAAGTTAGCAAGAATGTCYGCAGAACTTTCRATTWTCATRAYAAACAGAGTTGAAGCTAAGTGCAAAGTTGTCACGCACAAGTTTTCCGAGGGGGAACAGAACCGTGTAGGTTTTAAGCTGGCTGAAGCGAGGACAGCATGCTTACAATTTTGACATCCCGTGGATTAGCTCTGGGATTGATAGACAGAAGAAAGGAAAGCGCAGCTTTTGTTTTGGAATATAAACGCGACATGACGAGAGCAGTGCTAAAAACTGCTCCCTGCAGGAGCGAAAGGCTAATCTCCACATGATGCCCAGAAAATACAGCAGTAAGAAAGGTAACTATCAATTTAAATAACTGACTAATTCTTACTATTTATTTTTTGCTCTTGTTATTAGAGTGATGTTTAATCTGTTTACACACTTGTTTGAGTGAAGATTAAGTGCAATGATCACGTTGTTTTAGTTACAGTCAGTAAAATTGTAGCTGTGGACTCTTAACTTTGAACAGACAATAATGTGGGGTTTTGTTTTGTCCCCACCTTCAGTTTTTTTCCACCATAAAGCAGCACCAGGCTGACAGGTAGTAAAACAATAACCCAAGTGATTTTGAATTGTTATTTTATACTTTAAAAGTTCATTTTGTTTTTATGATGTTTTATTTTTCAGGGTATTATAAATTCTTTTATTTATTTTATTAAATTGTAGAATGTTCTTCAGTTTAAAATGTATGTGATCCATTGGTTAAAAATAAATGGATCAATTTTTCTCATACCTACTCTTTTTCACTGTTTGACCTGATCAAGACTTTTCTAAGATTTTACTTTACAAAATAGGTAAAATTGTGTCACTTGTACCTATTATGGTAAAGGGTCAATATCGGTATCGGACAATTCTCAAAGTTGTAATATCGGTATCGTATCAGAAGTGAAAAAGTGGTATCGGGACTGTTACGGCCGGCTCCAAGCCGCAACAAAATAGGGAGACGAGGCGGTGTTAAAATATCAAAACAAAATCATTTATTTAAACTAAACTAAGAGTAAAAGAAAAATGAAAAATGGTGCTCCGCTGCACGCGACGCCAGTCCGTGCCACGCGCCCAGAGCATGGTGGAAGGAAGGAGGAAGAGGAGGACGCCAAACCAGTCCACACCCACGACTGCAGACGCCCTTCTGCATGTACAGCCGGTCGCTCTCTCCCTCTGCGAGTCGCGCCCTGTGCGTCCTCTCCTGTGCGTCCTGTGGGTCGCTTATATCTGGCCCTCTTAATCCAGAACACCTGCGCAAAAGAGAAAAGGGGGCAGGCGCAGCACTACACACACACACACACACACACACGTGTCTGCTTACAAGGCCCAGGGCC